AAAAAAAAAGCAAGTTTTTCTTAAAAAATCGCAATAAAGACCATCTAGACAATCGAGCTGCATTCTCATTTTGGCGATGTTACTGAAAATTCTCTTAGCCCGATTGCAGCTATGCCAGGCCCTTCGATCCTGTGTTTTATGCCCTGAGGGAGTAACCCCCTCCCTTCTCCTCCCACTATGAAATGATATAGGGTGCACTAATAATGGTACTTAATTTCAAGATACATTTGACAGATTCTATTTCGCGTATTTCTAATCCACATAATTCCGCATAACCGTCCAAATGACAAATACAGCATTTGAAAAAAAGCTACAGTACAATATCAGTTGCAAAACTATTATAAACGGTTGGCGTGCCGATTGCCGGTGAGAAGATGCGTTTTTTGCACAAGTTTTTGTCGCCAACGGCACCAGTTTTTCCCGCAGATGCTTCTAGCTAAACAAATTGAGACAGGCCGCCAGGACTGTCAGGAAAGACTTCCTTAAAATTTCAGTTTTCTAGCTTTGCTGTTTCCCGAGTTAGCAACTTATCCGTAAGTGGGAAACACGCATACCCCGCGCCTGGATTTTAGCTCATTAACATCTACGTAGGTGAGGAACATCCCCTTGAAATTTCAGCTTTCTAGCTTTTCTGGCTTCCGAGTTAGCGACACCCGCAAAAAACTTTCAGGAGCCCGTACGTGGGAAACACGCAAACTAGGGTACTGGTTTTGAACTCATTAAGACCTACATGGGTGGGGAACATTCCACTAAAATTTCAGCTTTCTATTTTTTCTGGCTCCCGAGTTAGCAACTTGCCCATCAAAAACTTTGGCGGGCTCGTACGTGGGTATCACGCGGGCAAGAGCACCCACTTTGGGGATGGGGACCCGTACACGCATGTAGATTGAGTTTCCAAAGTTTCAGCTCTGCAACTTTTGTGGGTTTCGAGATGAAAAATCGGTACAAACGCACACACAGAAAACCCCTCGTCAATATGCGTTTTCTGCATTGCATAGACGCAAAAACACATAAAAATAAATGCCTAAAAGACTGGAACGGCTTGCGCTGGGCTCACTGTATCCATAAATATTGACCACTGCCGGAGGAAGGAATAATTTACTACCTCCTAGTCTTGCAATGCAACAATATCCGCGCCAAATATTAGACGATGCAAATCTGCGCTTCCTTTGCTTGCTATAAGTTGTCTATAATGTTTCAGAGCTTTTATGGATATACGTCAGACCGGTCTTTTTGGATATTTGGTACCGACTCACCGACTCAATATTTCGTTTGAGCGCTGAGCGTTCTCGTTCCATGCGTGCACGGTGTGCATCAAATTCACGATGTTCCACCTCGGCTCTATTCAATCGCCGTCTGAATTCCTCGTTTTCCGCGGTAAGTACTATTTTCTCGGATCGCAGCTGCTCTACTTCCATTCGAATCTCTTTTTCCAGTTGTTGCGCTTCTTTTTCTCTCTGTAAATTACGAGGCAAAAAATTATTTTGTATGATCTGAGTCTTCTCCTGAAAGACAAGGTATCTCAACACGAGCCGAGAATGGCAACGTTTGAAAGCATCAGTTAAATGCTAAATTTTACTATATTAGTTTAACATGTCGATCAGATCAATTACTTGGGCAGGAAACACCGTCTGAACAGTTAATGGAAAAGGCCAATGATTATTAAGAATGCCAAAACCATTTGGAAATTTAACGAACAACACGCCCTGCCCATCGGATTTTATTTTCTCATAGGCAACGCTCACAAATATCCATCGGTCATCAATAAGGTGGGCAACGTGATGTGTCCACCGAACTTTACTTTTTTGGGTTGTCACATAGAAATTTTCTATGCTTTTCAACTGATGGAATAACTGCTTATTTATTTGGAATATCTGAAACAGCGGTAAATTCAAAATCTAGATCTCCTTGGCAATTAACAATTTTTGCTTTCTAAGTCCAATTCAAATCAGTGGTTCAACTTAGCGCGTCGGTCGCAAAAAATATACTCATTCCATTCTCTACTAAGTAATACTTTTCGAGTTAGCAGACAAAACAAGCAATTGAAAATCAAAAAAAGAATTGAATTTTTCTCAGCAAGTATAAATTAATTTATTTTTAATCCAAATTCTATGGGCAGAAAGATAAAAATTTTAATAAAAAAGAAAAAATGGAAAACGTGGTATAGAAATCACAAAAATGAACAAATTGCTGGTTTCCATTAACAAAACGCTTAC